AAGAATTGAGGAGTAATTTCTACATGTGATGGCTTTTGATGCCTTGGGGACTGAGCTATCGGGAAGGATAGAAATTCAAAACAAGTGATTTCTGTGAGAGTAGGTAGAGCTGCTTCCAGAAGTGATGCTGTAGTCTGTCTTCTGTTTTAAAATAAGTTTCTTTGGTCACAGGTTGCTAGTTTAACGTTTTTTAGTTGAAGGTTGGTAATTTACCAGGGCTGCAGTTGCCACAAATGAGAACATGCAGTAATGATTTACTTAATATGAAATTATCCATTGTGTAGATGTCATCGGTGAGATTTGTGTCTTGGAGCCAGTGAGCACTGACTGAGCACTTGTTCTGCTGTTACACAACTTAGTTAATAAAGCAAAGTTCAAGAAAATTTAAATAAAGCGTGGTTACAGTACATCTTTCTTTAAAATATGGAAGAGAGTCTGGAAATGCCCATGATATAAATTAAAGTAGCCTTGTTAAAAATTAGCTTTTCTTTCTTTGTTTTTTTCTTTTTGATGCCGATGTTTACATTTCATGATGTTCGTTAGCTGAGTCATGTTGCATACATTGCTCCTCTTGCTTCATACTTCTTAAAGCTCAATATTGGCTCAAGTTGCTGCTCTGCCAGGGAAGTGACACTCAGCTACTTTCAGCGCTTAAGTACAGTTGATAGTGGTTCAATCCTTGTTCAAGCAACAGATTCTCCTCCTTAACCTCCCTCCCTGCCTTGAACCTTCACTGGATTAATCCTGCATCCTGTCCATCTTGCTACTTCGTGTGAGAGGCCGGGTTTGAGACCTCAGACTGTGCTTCGAGGCTGCAGAGAATGAGCTCTTTAAGCAGCTGTAAAGCGTAGACAGCTTCGTTTTGAATTTTTCAAATAAGTTTGAGTTCTGGAAAAGTGAGATTTCTGCACTGCAGAAACAATTTCTCAGATAGTGTTTTCATTTATTATTTGTGTGGATACTAGTGGCTTTTGCAGATAATGCAAAAGCATATTACCATCCTGGGTAACCTGTTGAGCTGCAAATGATTTTAACTCCTCAGAGCTCCCAAATAATCCCTGTTTTGCTCTAAGAAGCTGTGATCTTTAGGAGTGTCCTGCATTGTGATATTGCATGTTAATAGCATTGATTAACTGTCAAGCAGTGGGAATTGCTGGGAAAATGTGCATTGTAAAATTAAATGGTATTACTGAAGGCTGTACCATGCTGCTGGTTAGGGAGGTGACTACCCCCAGTAGTCAGTGGTAGGAGTATTAATGCGAGCTCCAGGTTTTTTCGCATGATTAAAACAGGCCATCTGTTCTTTGTTAAATGTTTACAAAAACAGCTTTTCTCTAAAAGATTTAAAGAGATGTGGGTCTAGTAAACACACCAATATTTTTGAGCACCTTTTTCACCTTATTTCAAGTAATACTAAAAATAATTCTACTGCAATATCAAGTAAGATTAATACCTATTTGTGTTTAATCTTCACTGGTTTCTTGCCTGTGAAAGATTAAGTTTTATACCAATGTTCTGAATTATGGCTTTATTATCGGTAAAAGCAGCAGAACTGATTTCTGTGAAGTACACAGATAAATTTTTGAGTCCTTTGGTAAAAACTTGTATATCTTTTTAAAATTTTGTACATGGAAAATGGGGTTCTTTCATTAGAAATTGTGACCCCGTAACTAGAGTTAATCCTTTGTAGATTTAAAGAAGTAGAACTATTTGAAATAATTCCCTTTGGTAGGCTTAATCTAATATTTACTAGTGAAAGCCTGTTCATCTTCCTTTTCTCCCGTGTTAGGAAAGACCAGACCACTGACTTGGGAAGAAAATGCATCTTCCAAGCTGCTTCCAAACTCCTTGCTAGATTTGTGCTGCTCCTACACAGCTTCACACTAGGGAGCAATGTGGGCTTGTCAGTTAAGGATAAACCATTTTAGCATATTGCAAAAGTATGGGCACAGACTTCCTAGAAAAATAAGGTTAATCATACCCACTTCTTTCAAAGGAGCGCTCGGCTTAAAGTATCACATATAAGTGAATTACGAAACCTGGCGAACAGCAAAGGGAGCGGCAGGTGACAGAAGTAATACGTTTTTCAAACAATAGGAAATATAACCAAAGCCAGGCAGAGTTGGCTTTTTGTAGCTTAATGTTTAGGGCATCGTGAATGATGTGAAACAAAATGCCACAATATTTAAATTTATATGCTGGGTAATGCACATGATTTGAATAAAAGGCAGTAAGGTGGGGGTGTTTTTAGTATTTGTTTCATGAATAACACTTGTGTCTAATGCATAGTCTAAGTTCTTTTAGAGAGTGACTCTGGTGGATAAGCTTTTTGAGGTAGTAAGAACCTGGGTTTTCATAGGATGACATCTTCTAAAGTGAGTTACTGAGCAGTACAGTGTGGCAACAACCGCTGCCATTAGTGCTTTAGCTTCTGGCAGACCTTATATTAAAACTACAAATGTCAAATCATGAAGGGTTCACATTGCTGTTGCAGAGACTTGGAAAGCTGTCTGCCTTACATTCAGATTTGCTTGTGACTCTGCTGCAAGTTGTTGTTTAGATTTCTAAAACAAGTAAACCAGAAAAATAACCCACAAGTATTAGGGATTATTTACCTTTTTAATTAGATTGAAAAGGTAAAGAGAATATTCAAGCATGTATAAAACTTCATACTGATTTCAGTGGCACGGTCATATCACTAATGAAGATGCAATCTTGAAAACTTTATAGAAGTAAATTTACATGGCATTATTGGATTTCTTGTGGGGGTTTTTTGGCTTGGCTGATTCACATGCTTAAGAGGAAGAAAAATAAGCCAACAATTCTGATTTGTTCTAGAAAGTTGTGCCTTATGTTTAAGCTTTTAGGTGGTTGTAAAATTCTCTCTTAATAATGTCAAACAAACACTGTAGTGCCAAACACAGTGTCATTGCTCAATACAAATTTTACAGATAATGGAAAGAAAAACTTAGATTTCTTATATTAGACACAGTATTGCAGTGGAGAGTTTGGTGAAGGCATTGATGAAACTTGCACTCGAGATCTCTGAGAAACATAGGATGCATGAGATATGAAGTGACAGATAATAGAGAAATATATTGACTACCTTGGGAAAATGTAGGTTAAAAGTACTGCTCTGAAAACCTATGGATAAGAAGTACTTACAGGTGATCTGTGTAATATTCCTCTTTTCCTACCTAAAAATAAATGTGGGACAGCATATACATAGTGGTCTGAGGTACAGAGGGGACAGCTTTATTCTTTGTCAGAGAACACTTCTGAGGAGACATTCAATTCAGTCAACCAAGTTCAAAACTGATTTAAAAAAAAAATAAAATGTCTCAATTTTATGTAATGCATATTTGGACTGCAGAACTTACTGGCACTTGTACTGTTCAAACCTTTCCCAAACAGCAATCAAGAGTTGTCTTTGCTTCTCAACAGCCTTGCTCCTGCTGCTGCTTGCTTAGCTTCTGAGCATGTGAGGGTGTTCCAGGCAGAGCAGTTCTTGCTTCTGTGAAGAAATGCTGAAAATCATTGGGACCGCAGTGGTTCAGTTTAATTGCATTCAGAAACTATATTAATATATTTGCATTCACTTTCTCATGCAATGATATTAAGAATTTTATTTCCTAAATCTTAAGTGCATTCGGTTTTTAGATCCAAGTGGCTGAAGTACATGTCTGTGTATGCCCATCAGTTCTCCTTAGATTCAGGGTTTGTAGTCACTCGTTTGCACGCTTGCCACTCCTCAGTAAGTGCAGTTTGAATAAAAAGCAGAGAAAAGGTGGCGCGAATAACCTTACACGGTTACACAAATGCCGCTATTTCTAGAAATAAAATTGTGATTTGCTGTAAACCTTTCTTTTCTCCACGTCAATGGATCAAACATCTCAGATGGCTAGTATTTCTGACCATGGCCAATTCCACCTGGAATCATCCTGACTTAACTTTCAGGGAAGAGAAAAGGAGAAGTAAACAGAGAGAGAAAGAGGGTGGGAAAATGGTGTGACCATATATGCAGTTGCAAGGAAGGCATCAGTACGGTGTCATCCTGTTACTCTTATTCTTGAAAAGCACTGTTGTCCTGCATTTACAGCCATCGGCAGGCAGTGAGAGAAACCCCTTAGAGCTTTGATACATGATGCAAAGTTGTGACAGAGCTCAGACACGTTCTCATTGCAAACTCAGGGATTTTTTTTGTAGAACAGACCATTAAGAGGAAAATATCCACTGTGGTTAGTTGAGGCACTTGATGTTTGTGCAATTATACATAGGTTTTGATGTACTTTGTAAACCTGGTGTGAACCTGATAGACTATACAGACTTTGAAATAGGATGTTTTTTTCAGTTTCACAAACACTTGACGAAGTTCTCTGTCCAATCTCGAGCAGGAACAAATCCGTTTCAATTACAAGTAGGGAGCTGTGGTTCTTTGACATAAACTGTAACATTACACTACATTTTAAAGTAGTTTAATCCTTCACATGCTGTTCATAATACCTCCTGTCACAGCTGAACCAATGTAAATTGCCTTCATTAATTTTTTTATAAATGCAGCCTGTGAGCATACTTCATGTTTCTTTGCATGTCTAGAAACAAACTTCAACAATTTTTCTCCCAGAGGACAAAATTCCAGTGCAACTGAATAATTTGTAACAAGTTTTTCATTCTATTAACAACTGTTTTGAAATATCTGAAATAACAATTGATTTCCTTTTGTATCAGAATGTTGAAGACTGTAAATATTTTCTCTACTCCCACTTTATATATGAGCTTTAGAATAATACTTGCTGTGTAAAGAACAACTGGTCATTTTGCTGGTACTTTTACTGCACACAGCTTTGGTTTTACTGTTTCAGTGTACAACTTTTAGGATATGCCACTAGGTTAATCTTTGCTTAGTATTTTCTGCCTCTGTTACCTCTTGCTTCAAAAGAGCAAAGTTTTAGAAATCAAAGTTGGAAATCTACAATTTTATTCCTGTTTGTCTCTCTCAGCATTCTCCATCGGAACCCTTTTTAGAGAAACCAGTGCCGGATATGACTCAGGTTAGTGGACCGAATACCCAGCTTGTGAAAAGCGACGATTATCTGCCATCAATTGAGCCGCAGCCACAGCAAAAGAAAAAGAAAAAGAAAAACAATCACATTGCTGCAGAAGGTCTCAGTAAAGGTTTTGGTAAGGAAGACTTTCCTGGAGGACTTGACAGTCAGAATATAAGCAGAAACTCAGTGGATTGCTCCCAAGATGATAAAAAGAAAAAGAAAAAGCCTAAGGCAAAAAAAGAACCGAAGGATCCTAAAGAACCCAAGGAAAAGAAGGAACCCAAGACCCCCAAAGTCCCTAAGACCCCCAAAGAGCCAAAGGAAAAGAAAGCAAAAACTACCACGCCAAAACCCAAGACCAGCAAAAAGGCTAGGTAAGTCTGGAAGCTTCTGTATGCGATGAGAGAAAAACGGGATGTTTGTGGGATTTCTAGAGCATCTGTGCTAAATGGCAGGGGGGAAGAGGAAATTTGTTTTGTCATTTGCCTCCTACCATTTACAACACCCTGTTTTTGAGAAAATATGGTGGGCGCATTTGGGCACATTTTCCTTGGCTTTCTTTATGGCTCACAGTTATTTTAAACAAGCTGGAAAGGCAGACGGTTGTTTTTTCTTTTCATGGCTTAAAAACTTCTGAATGTGTTTGCTTTCAAAAATTAATGCTTTTCTAATGCTCATCGTCCTCATGTGTGGTTTGTGTATTAAGAAATTAAATTGCTTCTTCATTAACGTAAGTTTGACCAAATCCAGAGATGAAAGCTTAGAATAAAAACGTCATCAAATGCATTTCTTTAAGTAAACAAGTTATGTACTTAGTGTTGTTACAAGTTGTACAACCCTTACAGACACTATTTTATACTGACACAGCCCGTGGGCTATAAGCTCTGCTGTTAAAAAGGCATTTTTCTATGGATATTGATCTATCCTCACTGTAGGGATTATATTCATTTTGCTGTTTCATGTAAAGTTTTCCTAGCAGAAAATCTTTGTGGATAGAGCAGATGCTTCAGCTCCGTTTCTTAACTGTTTTCACTCAGCATCGAGTTCCTTTATCAGGATAGGCTTAAAATGTTACAGAGTAGTAGGAGAAAGAAAAAACTGCCGTTACACATGAGTAAATACGTCATGGATAATAACACAGATTCTTTCCTTACCCCTCAGCTCCTTAAGCACCATGATTCTAAGTGCCTCCTTGAAAGAAAACCGAGAGGAATAAGACATTAAAGCTCTTTTTTAATTTTTTTTTTTCCATTTGTACCTAGAATTTCTTACAACTGTTCTGAATTTGTTCCAAACATCTGAATCTGTTTTTCAAGATGTGGCTAGCGTTATAAAATATAACTTCCAGATGGAAGCACAGCCAGACTTGGTTAATCCAAATCAGTTTGCAAAATCCATTTGTATTAGAGTTTAAAAATTGCAGTTAATGAATCAGCTTTGCATATATTCTGCAAGACTATTGGTTAGGTTCGGTACAGCTGTATGGCTAAATGAGGCACAGACAGTAAGGTGTCGCTTGTTCCTTTAGCAAGAAAGAGGAGTTTCTATATGAGCGGAGATTATATTCCCTGAAAAATTTTTAAATGCTGGCTTGTAAAATCAGATGTTGTCCTGAACAAGTTATATTAACTGTTCAGTAAATTACAGTTGATCACCCTGTCCCTATTGCTGAAGTTACTTCAGCTGTGTTCCACGCTGTCCTAAGGATGGGATTTTACATACGTAGCAATTCACAGCTTAAGAAAACACTTGAAGTTATAGATCTCCCTGTATGTGTTTTTGAAACCAAAATACTGTATCAGCTAAAACAACCTTTTTGTGCCATTTCCTGGACCATATTGCGCGGTATCGAGTATCTACCAGCAGTGTTTGCCACCAAGAAGTAAAAAAGCTTTTACTGCAGAATTTCTCAGTTTGTGTGGTTTTACAAGGTCCTGACTACGAGGGTTTGTTTAATAAGCAATGGTTAGAAGGAGCCTGCCTGAAAAACATGCATGGGTTCCTGTGGCTGTGCTGGACATCAGACCTCAGAACTAGTCTATCCTGTCCACTCAGCCCCGTATCTCTTCGTATGTCTTCTCTAAAATTTGGGATGTGCCACGCAGATTAAAAGAACAGTCTTGCCCTTGAAGGAACAAGTCTCCGCTTTCCTAATTGTATTTGTAGTAGCATCTTTATCTTCTCCCCTGTGCAATGACTCTTGTCACTGGGTGGCTAGATGACTTACAGTATTCTAGTAAGTACTAAGCCCTGTTGTTTTACCTGTGAGGGAAATGGGTTTGGAGCAGCATTAGGAGCATTTGCTCTTCCTTAGGCTTGCTCAGAGGTGTGGAGAAAGTCCTCTACTTTTCCCATAATGGGCTTGTGTCTCTGTTACCAGAAGCTCTCTTGAAAACAAGCTTGTTCTCATTTTGTGGTCTTGTTGGCTTCAATATCAAACTTACCTGAAGAACTCTGAGACTGTGTTGGGACACTGTGCCGCCAACGTTTTTAAAATCTGTGGAAGAAATTTGCTTACTTTGGCAGTATCACTGACTGTGGAACCTGTCCAGTGACAGATCACTGAATTAAGTTTTTAAATAAATCAGCATTCCAAACATTTAATCATCTGAGCCACAGTATTTCAGCAGCACTAACTCTAGAAAAGAAGTATTACAGGAGACTAGATGAGTGTGCTTAATGCAAGTTAATATACATTATGGATTAGGTAGAAGTAAAATATTTTTATAAAGTTGGTATCTGGAACGTGTTTAGTACAACTGCTTATATTGCTCGATATTTTGCTTTTATGCATTTAAGGGAGTGGTGTGATTTCTTTAGATTTCTAAAGTGCTGTGCAAAACCAGTGGTTTTCATTCCTGAATAAGGTGATGAGTTTTAGTAGAAGCATGTTGCACTCATGTAAAATTCAGATAAATAAAGCTAAGCATAGGAAATGTATTTACTGAATAGCAACAGATTTTTGGATAGAGTCTTTGACAGTTAATATTGACACAGCATGTATTAGATTATACACATAGATTTAAAAAATGGTATATAAATGGTATTTAATGGTATCTTAACCATTTTGTAATTTCATATTGCTCATAATTTAACCCTGTACTTCAGTTCTAATTTGACTAACCTTATAGTCCTTTCATTAAACAAACACCAGAAGTGTTCCCAGCCACATCTATCTTTGTTGTAAGTTGTGACAAAGTGAACAGCCTGTGTCACTGAAATGCACCTTCACGTAAGGGGCAACAGTCAGACCTGGAGAATGGAAGTAGATTAATTTCATGCTTGTTTGAATTGCATGTCCCATGGCATCTTAAAAAGAAAGAAAACACCCAACTGGGCTGCTAGAGTGTTATACTGCATACTTTGTGTTTTTGCAAGAAAGATCACACATTAGTACTGTACTGTTACATGACTGGAAAAAAACACACGTGCAGGACACACTTATTGTAGGCCAAACTAGTTGGATTTGAAAGCAAAATGTAGGTTTACCTAGGATCACAAACAAAGGGTTTTCATTAAATTGCACAGGTGCTGAAGTATTATGAGGGCTTTTAATGTTACGGAGCCAGCTTCAGGCACATGCAAAGCCGGCAGCTTTTTCCAAAAGTAGATGGACAGGGAAAGGCAAGTAGTCCTGCTGAATTGCAAAGTCATGGCTCAGATGTCTGTTCCTCCTGTGCCTGTCCCTGGAGGAGATGAGGACCACCTGTTTGAGAAGATCAGGCTGCAGCACAGCTGATAGCTCTCCTGCTGCTTCCTATGAAACCCTAGAGAGCGGCCACCGATTACGGTGGGAGAAGCAGCAACTAGTTGCGAGAGCCAAATGGCAGCTCTTTGCAGGAGCTCATCCCTCCTCCTGTCTCCACAGAGCAGCATGCCGGGCTTTGCAGGGCTGCTCCTGCTTCCTCCCCTCCCTGTGGCAGGGGAAACTCTTCGTCCCTCCCACTGGGTAGGGCAGGTGGGTCGCTGCTCACAAGGGCAGTGCTAAGGACGAGGGTAACTGCTCCTTGTAGCTGGAGGTGGGGACGGACATTTTGGCGCACAGATCCGCTGTTTGTTGTATCAGAAAGGGGATGGCTCCTGGCCACGGAAGCGGGAAGAGGCTGCTGAGCAGGGGAGCGAGGTGGACAGCAGGACGCAGCACCCTGGGGAGCTGGAGGACAGGAAGAGAGCTCCCGAAGCAGCAGCGATGGTTTCCACTCCCAAGCTGGGTCATCCTGAGCAAGGCAGGAAGGAGGGATGCCTGTGGGAGAGAACAGGAAATCATGAAAGATTTCCATGTGCGCGTCAACCGAGGCTGTTCCTGTTCACACCTGTCCTCACCTCCCTTTTGAACTAGCCCAGCTGCCAGATATTTACCTCTGCCGTTGTGGCAGGCAGGCCTTGTGGGCTTCCCTGTTACGAAGGCATACCTTTTAGTAATTTGGCTGAGTTTTCAGGCTGGAAAAAGCTTGCTGTCCTATTGTTTTGTTTTTCCTACTTGTGTGACCTATTAAACAATACTGATTTATTTTTTAAAAAGGTTTTATTTCACTAAGAGCCTTCAAAAAAATAGTTGTTTTCATCAGGTAAGGCAGTACAGAAAATCTCAGGCTCTAACATTTTGAGAGGGTGGGAGTTTTTATAATCTTTTTTATGGTCTTGATGCTCCATGGTGGATGTGTAACATTTTTCTAAGCCAGGTTCCAATGGTGAAATTTGTCACAGGACAGTGTTCCCAAACAGTACAGCAGGGATCAATAGTCCCTCTGACTTACTGTAAATGTTTAAATTACACGAAAAATACCATCCAAATCCTGATAGCCATCATAAATTACACTAATAAGCAGACCTGTCAGTAACTCAGAGCAGATGAAGTAGTTGCACAATGTAAACATACCGGCTAATTACTTCCCCTTTTAATCTTACAAAGCCTGCCATGCTTTTTGGGGTGTTTTTGAGTCATATGGTTTGGCCCTGTAAGCTCCTGGAGTAGGTTTCCAGCTCTGTAGGTCACTGCTTGACTGACGCAGAACACTTTACCAGAGTTTGGATACTTGTTCTCAAATTGTAATCCAGGCTTTCTTTTCAGCTGTCCTACTTACTAGTTTCCTCTTCAGCCTATTTTCTTTCATATTGTTTGCTCATTTGACCTTCTGCAGGTTGTCTTCTTACTGATCCCCTGTGGTCAGTATGCTGTGCAGTCCCTGGGGATAAGAGAATGAAACCAGAGAGTAGTACTGGACAGCTACATTGTAAGACATCTCATCTGAAATACCTGTGTTTGTATCACTGGAATAGCAGGACTAGTTTTAACTGCCAGTTTTAAAATGTTGTGGTGTTTTGTGTGTGGCAAGCACTGCTTCAGTTTCTCCCAGATTTCTAGCTCTTGTTT